GACTTTGTACAACTGCATGGACTGTAGGTCACTGGGCTCCTCTGTCCATGGGATTCTCCAGGCAAGAATACTGGAGTGGGCTGCCATGCCCTCCTCCAGGGGATCTTGCAGACCCAGGGATTGAACCGGGGTCTCTTATGTCTCCTGCATTAGCAGGCAGGTTCTTTACTGAAAGCGACACTTAGGAAGCCCCAGATAGAGTCAGAATTGAGTTAAATTGTAAGCCTTCCAGACTTCTAGCTGGTGGCAAAGAGAAGTGTTTGTGGGGTGTGTGGGGGGGTAGCCTCCACACGGTCGGTGACCAGAGTCTCAGAAGTGCAGGGCTGTGTGTGAGAAGCCAAGGACACACGCAGGGGAGAACTGGATTTTTCCTTACAGAGGAAGGAAAAGTCCAGATTTCCCCTCTGCACATCTAAACAAAGAATCATCAAAATCTACCATATGCTTCCTGGTCAAAAAAACAGAGATCATAATACCAGGGTGTACGCTGGTTCTTCTAACCTAAATGGCCTATTTTCTGCGAATCATGCCTGCCAGAATATTCAAAACCGGAGGCCAATTATGTAGCCAATTTGAATGTACAAAAGGGCTATAGCCCTTCGGGGAGGAGGTAGCCACTTCTTTCTCAGCTGTCGTGAAGATCCCTTTATTTTGTTTCTTTCTTTATTTTTGGCTGTGCGGGGTCTTCGTCGCTCTGCGGGCTTTTCTCTAGTTGCAGCGAATGGGGGACACTCTAGAGGAGGTGCGCAGCCTTCTCTTGGCGGTGGCTCCTCTTGTGCAGCACCGGCTCTAGGGCACGTGGGTTTCAGTAGTTGCGGCTCCCGGGATCTAGAGGACGGGCTCAGTAGGTGTGGTGCACGGGCTTTGTTGCTCCGAGGCCTGTGGGATCTTCCCAGATCAGGGATTGAACCTGTGCCTCGTGCCCTGGCAGGCGGACTCTTCACCACTGAGCCACCAGGGAAGCCCAGACCCCTTTATTTCAACCATGGAATCTATTGTTCGTGTCCTCCAAGTCCTGCCGCCAGGAAGAGAGATCAGACTTTGAAAGGACTCGCCAGTATTTCCTCCACAGTTAGCAGAGCTCTCTCTTCCCGGGGCTATCAAGACGCTTTGAGCCCTTCCAGGAGGTGGATGACAAGATGATCCCTTAGGTAAGTCTTACTCGGTATGGGGCAAATCCAAGACCACTCATTTTGCTTCATTTATCTTCACTGGGGGATGGTTTATGGAAATAAAGTCACGGTCAAGGTTGAAAGACTCTAGGAATGCAGGGATTCTTGCCTAAAGAGGGTAAGAAAGAGCTGGTTAGAAGAGGAATCCTACACCAATGCTATTAATCCCAAATAGGACCTTTTACAAGACCAGAGAAATTCCTGCTCACAGTTTCCTGCATTCTCTGATTAAGCATCGCATTTGTAGGACTTCTCTGGTAGTCCAGTGGTTAAGACTTCCCCTTGCAATGCAAGTGACTTGAGTTCGATCCTTGGCAGGGGAACTAGGATCCCACATGCCTCAGGGTAAATAAGTCCTTGCACCACAACTAGAAAGTCCATGCTATACAATTAGAAAACCTGTGTGCTGCAATGAAAGATCCTGTATGCTGCAACTAAGATCAGATACAGCCAAATAAGTAACATAAACATTTTTTAAAAAATGTTAGGACTCATTAAGAAGAAAAGAAAAGAATTGCATCTGTTGTTGTTTAGTCGCTAAGCTGTGTTTGACTCTTTGTGACCCCATGGACTGCAGCACACCAGGCTCCTCTGTCCTTCACTATCTCCTGGAGTTTGTTCAAATTCATGTCCATTGAGTTGGTGATGCTATCCAACCATCTTGTCCTTTGCCATCCCCTTCTCCTTTTGCTTTCAATCTTTTCTAGCTTCAGGGCCTTTTCAAATGAATCAGCACTCCCTGAAGCTAGAAGAGATTGAAGGTGGTCAAAATATTGGAGCTTTAGTTTCACCATCAGTCCTTCCAATGAATATTCTGTGTGGATTTCCTTTAGGATTGACTGGCTTGATTTCCTTGAAGTCCAAGAGAGTCTCAAGAGTCTTCTTCAGCACCACAATTCAAAAGCATCAGTTCTTCAGTACTGAGTCATCTTTATGATCCAACTCTTTTGTCCATACATCCCTACTGGGAAAATCATGGCTTTGACTATTTGGACCTTTGTAGGCAAAGTGATGTCTCTGCTTTTTAATACACTGAATAGGTTTGTCATAGCTTTCCTTCCAAGGAGCAAGATTCTTTTAATTTCTTGGCTGCAGTCACCTCCTGCAGTGATTTTGGAGCCCAAGAAAATAAAATCTGTCATCGTTTCTAATTCTTCCCCTTCTATTTGCCAGAAAGTGATGTGACTGGATGTGATTTTTTTTTTAATATAATGTTAAGTTTCAAGTCAGCTTTTTCACTCTCCTCTTTCACCCTGTTTACACTTAACATGCAAACTCAATTCGGTTCTAGGCTCGGATTAACAGGCTTTCCTCCTGCAAGGAAACACCTGGGACACGGACTTAAAGCAGGAGGAATCCGGGATGGCTCTCCCCTAGGGGGCGCTGTCTTACGCCTCACTACCCAATGACACTCCTATTACTGTGACACCAAAATACACCCACAACTTTCCCAAGAGGCCCGGGGGCTGTTTTGTACAGCCTTGTCTCCTAGGAGCCATTACTCTCTAATCATTAGCTTCCAGGCAGTAGGCTCTTTTGGAACCCAATTATATTTGTTTTTCTTTCTAATCAGAGTACAGCATGGGGTGTGATTCCAGGAATTAATAGAGATTGTCTCTGGAGGAGGAAATTGAAGAATGAAAATAACTTGTCAGATTCTGGCCTTTTATCCTACTTGAAGTTTTTAAACATTTTTCTAAAACCCTATTTTTGGACTCATAATTGGATTACAATCAATTTTCATAATCTCATTACCAAATAAGATTCCCCCAGCTTTTACATTACATTAAAAAATGATGTATTGCTGGGACCTCACTGGTGGTCCAGTGATTAAGAGTCCACCTTCCACTGCAGGGGGTGCAAGTTTAAACTCTGGTCCGGGAATTAAGATCCCTTGTGCGTCTCACTGCACCACAAAAATTAATACATAAAAAAAATTTTAAATACAGTGTATTGCTATGGACTGTGCTTTCTAAGATTTGCTTCAAATTGCCTGGGGGAGCCAGTGGGTGGGAGTAGAGATGAACGCAAATTGGTCAGGAGTTAACGGTTGGGGTTGACTTCTTCCATTCTTCTTCCACTTTGGGACATGTTTGAAAACCTCAATAGCAAAAAATTTTTTGACAGTGTATATATTGAAAAGAAAATTTTCCCATATAATAGTCACCCCATCTCTTAGAATTCAGGGTCTCCCACCCAGATTGCTATGACCCCCTCCCCCCTTCCTTGCTCTGTTTGGCATAGTGTTGGTCACCTTCCAACATGCAACATCATTTACATGTCACATCTACTGCTCATCATGGCCCAGTGAATCACAGTACATTTCATGCTTATTCCATAATAAAATGGAGTCTTTTCAATAACTGTGAAGACAATGTTGGGGCATTGGCAGATTCTTTTTTTAATGATTTTCCAAAAGTATCTAATTTGCTTACACTGTCTCCCATTCACCATGTCTCTTCTCCGAGAAGGTAAGTTCCCTGTCCAGTTTTACCAGCTGATTTGAAAAGCATGTGTAGCTCGCATTTTATTTATTTATTTTTTTGGATGAAGTTGGTATAGAGGTTAAAAGCAAGAATTCTAGAGCCACCCTGGTTAGGTTCAAATACTGGCTCTGTCACCTACTATCTATGTGACTTTGGGCAGGTCACTTAGCCTGTTTTCTTATCTTTGAAGTAGCGACATAGCCATCCCTACCCCAGGTTGCTAACCTGACCGGTAGTAAAAGGGTCCATGAACGCTGCCTGGATTATTACCAGTTACAGCACTCATTTAGGAAGTCAAATAGAAATGCATCTGATTCCTACTGGAGCCTGTATTTTATTTCTTTAGTGGTGCTTGGAACTTCTCTGGCAGTCCAGTAGCTGAGACTCTGCGCTTCCACTGCAGGGGATGTGGGTTCAGTCCCTGGTCAGAGAACTAAAATCCTGCATGCTGCCTGTGGCCAAAAATTGGAAAAAAAGACAGTGATGCCAGGCCCTTAAAGGTGATAGGAATTGTTCCATTAGCTAAGGGATATGAGGCCTCCAGCCCAGATGCCTGACTGAATACCAGCAGATGTTCAGCACCGAGGGTCTTATAGCCTGGTGAGGGATGCTCCAAAGGACCAGTGGTGGGGATGACAGACAGCCTCTGGACCCCGGCATCTCCTGCTCCTCCCTCCACTCTGGCTTCTGCGATCTGGTCCCTTAACGACCCTGCGGGTTTGAACAGAGTCTGAAGGAAGGGATGTTTGGAGAACAGGGCCTGGAGACAGGGCTGGGAGAGGATGGCAAGAAAGCCTGGGAGGAAGAGACGGGGAGAAGGGAGAGGAAGGCAGAAATGGCTAGTCATTGGGAGAATGGAGCCAGGGCGGGGTGGAGGGGAGGAGGGGTTGGGCGGGGATCTGATATTGGATTTTAAGGGAGGGGCGGGCGAATAAAAAGGGCTGAGATGGCGACGGGAACAAGGGAGGTAAGGTGAAGGCCCACTGGTGAGGAACACTGGCTGAGATGCAAGGTAAGACTCGGGGCGCAGAGCCGGGTTGGCGGCTGGCGCTGGGACGTGCCGTGCGGAGAGCGGCTGCGGTGGTCGGCTGGCAAGGACCAGCTGGGAGTCTGGGGACTTGAGGGGGCGGCTGCTAGGGCGTGGGGGCGACCGCCTTTGGGTGCGTGGCCTGCGGAGGCTCCAAGTCCCTGATGTCTGGACCCTGGCTTTCCAGCAGCCGCAGCCGCGGGGCCTGGCGAGGAGACCACAGGGGCCTCAGCCTCCCGGGGCCTGCCCGCCTGTATTCCCGCTTCCGACCCCGAACCCGAGGAGGCGCCCGGCTTAAACCAATTGCCCATCGAGATGCTGCTGGAAGTGCTGAGCTACCTGCCCGCAAGCGTGCTGCTCGGGCAGTGCCGCCACGTGTGCTGGTATTGGCGCTCCCTGGTGGATACCCGGGCCGTGTGGCTGAGCATCTTGCCCTACAGCCACGCCAAGCTGTGGCCCGTCTTCCGCACCTGCCTGCCCCCAGACGACGACGACGACCCCAGGCCCTGCCTCCTGGGCCGCTTCTGCGAGCGCAGACCTTTAGGACGCAATCTCTACCCGAACCCCCGTGGCATAGGTGGGGAGCCCAGGAAAGGATGCCCATGGGATGGCTTGGAGGCAGAGAGGAGAGGCTCAAGGAAACCCCTGGGACTTGTCCCGTGGGCTGGCGGGCAGGCCAGGAACTTGGGCACAAACATTTTTTCATTTAACAGATGCCTTCCTGCCTTGGAGGACAGTCAACTGTAGAAGCTGGAGAGAGGAGGAAAGCTGGGAGGAAGACCGCAGGCTAGCTCCCAAGGACTCTTTCTGGCCTTTCTACAGGTGGACGTCCCTCTTCCCCTGGGTGGGCGGTGGTGAGTTCTTGCCTGGTTCGCACTAATCCTTCCCCCTTTCTCCCAGGTGGTGTTACAAGAAGCAAGTGTTGGACCTGGAGAAGGAGGGTCTATGGCCGGAACTCCTGGATAGTGGAAAGATTGAGATTTGTGTCTCTGCCTGGTAAGTGTGATGGCAAAAACAGCTTTAAAACAGGGCTGACCTTGGCATGGGTGACAAGGTGTGTAGGCCTCCCAACAACCCCTTAGATAAAGCAGGAAGGGAAATGACTTCACCACCATCAGAGCTTTACTACTTAGCCGTATCCACTCCCTGAACCCTCTCCTGACCCCGCAACAGACCTGTATGGGAAGATGCCAGGTCGGATCCTATGCAAAGGACTTGGTTTAAGAGGAGGCAAGATAGAGTTGGCTAAGAGGTCAGATTCTGGAGTCAGACTTCCCATACTCAAACCCTGGCTTCTGGGCTTTGTGGCCTTGGGCAAGTCATGGTGTGCCTACATTTCCCTGTCTTCATAAGGCAGGGTTCTGTGTCAGCCACAGAGCCAGGGCTTTGAAGTGTGACCTGTTTCAGCAGCCTTCATGATCCTTGATCCTGTGGGAAAGTGTGTTTTGAAACCTCGAACTGAGAAGTTCAGAGAGGTGAGGTCACTCGCTCGGGTGGCACAGCTAGGGCTTGGCAGGACTGGCATCAGGCTCTTACTTGTCTGACTCCAGAGCCTGTGCTCTGTTTGATGGTCCTGAAACCAGGATGGTCCATGAAGACCTTCCATGGGATACCTCATTTGGATTATTTTAAGGGAGGCAAGTTCCAAATCCTCTACTGTTTTTTGTACCCTCTTCTCAAATTACTCAGCTACAGACTACATCTATGGTGGGGGCATTGTATGATTATGCTTTCCCAATTTCCTGTCTCTCAGCCCTTCAGTTTTACAGAAAAAGTCATTCACTAAGGTGTATTGTCCCTGGATGTAAAGGCCTCTGGGGAAACAGGCAAAGTGAGATTGAAATTTGAAATTTTGGCCTTACCACATTCACTTTCAGTCAAAACACCGTAAACTTCCCCTCTCTGAAAACCCATCTCTTTAGGAAATGTATTTACAATCAAATTCTTTATTTAACTTCATAATTTGTGCAAGTGATAAAGAATCCACCCGCCAGTGCAGGAGGCACAAGAGACTTGGGTTCAATCCCTGGGTTGGGAAGAACCCTTGGAATAGGAAATTGCACCCCACTGCAGCATTCTTGCCTGAGAAATTCCATGGGCAGTGGAGCCTGGTGGGCTACTTTCCATGGGGTCACAATAAGTCAGACACAACTGAGTGACTGAGCACACACACTTAGCCGATTAACAGTGTTCTGAGTTTTCAGGTGAACAGTGAAGGGACTTGGCTATACGTATACATATATCCATTCTCCCCCAGACTTCCCTCCTATCCAGGCAGCCACATAACATTGAACAGAGTTCCATGTGCTATAGTAGGTCCTTGTTGGGATCCATTTTAAATATAGCTGTGTGTACATGTCCATCTCAAACTCCCTAACTATCCCTTCCCTCCATCCTTCCCCACCCCCGGCAGCCATCAGTTCGTTCTCAAAGTCTGTGAGTCTGTTTCTGTTTTGTAAGCTTGTTTGTATCATTTTCTTTTTAGATTCCACATATAAGGGATGTCATACAATATTTCTCCTTCTCTGTCTGATTTACTTCACTCATTATGACAAACTCATCCATGACAAATGACATTATTTTGTTCTTTTTAATGGCTGAGTAATATTTCATTGTATATAGGGGTTTTGTTTTTTTTTTTATCAATGTTAAATATCAGCCTCCAAGTCAACTGAGACTACTACACAAGCCATCCTTAGTCACATTGCTGGTTTTCCTGGAGTGGCTAGCCCCTGCTATAGTCTACCTGTGTGGTTGTAGCTAGCCTCTACCAAATCATATTGGCAGGCTTATCCCAGACAGAGATACTCCTATCAGACATAAAATTGCAAGGATCCAGAGATTGCCTCTCAGTGTCAGACGGCAATGACCATAACTTTGAACGGGTGGAAATTCCTTTCTACACAATATCTTTTCTGGAATCCACATGATTCCAATTTGCAACAATGTCTGGCAGCCACTAGTAGGTAACAGTTCAGCCAAAAAGAAACAAATTTAGCACTTAGAAAATTTTAAATTTCTACTTATGTTCTTTGTGTGCATGTTGTTGGCACAGGGCAGTATGAAAGGTAAGTCAGAAGAGCATAAACATATAAGGGTGAAATCTGGAAGAAGTAGCATGTACATTTACACCTAAGAAGTGATATGACACCTCTGTGAAGGAAGTTACTACTTTGTGTATATATATTTCCTTTTCCAATGCATGAAAGTGAAAGCGAAGTCGCTCAGTCGCGTCTGCAGCCTACCAGGTTCCTCCATCCATGGGATTTTCCAGGCAAGAGTACTGGAGTGGAGTGCCATTGCCTTCTCTGGTATGTATGTGTATATATATATATCAAATTAATCTTGTTTTTAAATTTTTATTTTTGACACCAAAAATGTACATATCTTGTGTGTGCAAGTCAATGAATTATTACAGAGTAAACATATTCACTTAAATCAAAAACAGAACGTTAAAAGAAAAAAACAGAACGTTGCCAGCAAACAGCACCCTCGGTATCCCTCATGCCTCATTCCCATCACTTCCAATCCAACGGTAGCACCGTCTTGACTCCTGTTACCATAGGTCAGTTTTGTCCATTTTGGTGCTATGTATATATATATGGAGTTATACCGTATATAGTGTATATCTGGCTTCTTTCAATCACGTGTTTGTAAATTCACCCATAACTGCATGTAGCTGCAGTCTGCTTTCGTGGCTTCATAATTCATTGTGTGAATATACCATGTGAGCATAGGTGCTCAATCGTCTGAGTTGTGTCTTTGCAACCCCATGGAGCCCACCAGGCTCCCCTGGCCATAGGATTTCCCAGGCAAGAATACTGGGGTGAGTTGCCATTTCCTACTCCAGGGTGTCTCCCCGACCCAGGGTTCTTTACCACTACAGCCACCTGGGAAGTCCACTAATTAATTCTCTTCTCCAGTGGTTCCTAGAAGGAGAAATTCCTAAATGGAGGTGCTGGGGTTTGAACCAGGGGCCTTGTGCAAGCCAAACATGTGCTCTACCACTGAGCTACACCCCCACTCAATCTATCCATTTACCAGTGGGTGTTACTTGATATCTCATTACTAATTTACTTAGATTCCCTTGGTTCCTTTTATGTGACTAAGGAAATTGTATCTTAAACATCACCATTGTACACATTGGAGATGACATCTTTTGCCACCAGCAAAACATAGAAAGAGAAAAAAGATGGTTGGAGGTACCTTGAAGAGCATGGCTCTAGGTCTTTACTTCTGAAATGAATGCACATGCAGATCAACTAGAGAGGGTGTTTAGGGCAGATGGATTCCTTGCGGAAGCAGAGGGGCCAAGCTCCCACATGACCCTGATGCTGCTAGTCCTGGGGACCACAGCACCATTTGGGATTTTTAGACATGGGAATGCCATTCAGGTAGAGGAGGCAGATGCCCAAAGAGGTGAGGTGGCAAGTTCAACCTTCAAGATTTTCCTTCTCCCACAGGTGGGTAGACCAAGAAGCCTTGGTCTGTCTGTATGAGCTAACTGTCCAACTTCTAGATGCCAAGCAGGCCAAGCTACATCATTTCTCTCCTAGTCCAATCCATCAAGGTAGAACCAGTATCCCTTTTAAGGTGAGTCTGACGGGGGCAAAGAGAAAGAATGGTATAGCTTATGATGATCTATTGCTAAAAAATAAATTTCCCCCAAATTTAGTGGTTTCATATCAGCAGCACTCATTTTATCTCCTCTCATGGTTTCTATGAGGAGGACTCTGCTGGGAGTTTCTGGCTCTGGTCTGCCGTGTAGTTCCCTTCAGACATGGGCTGGAGCTGAAAGGCAGGGTGGGCTGTGGGTGTGTACACAGCAGCTGGTGGCTGGCCAAGCAGCTCTTGGTTTAGTCTCAGAGCCTGGCCATGGGATCTCCCTGCATGGTCTAGCTGGGGCTTCCGCAGAGCAGGGCGGCTTCGAGGCAGGCAGCTGCTTCCTGGCGGCTCAGGCTCCACCATGCGGCTTCTGGAGAAACCAGCAGAAGCTGCATTGCCTTTGTGACCCCGCCGTGGAAGTCACTCCGTGAAAGGCAGTCAGCATCACTCCCGCCACACTCTTGGTTACAGTGAAACCCGCCCAGATTCGAGGGGGTGGGGATTAGACCCCACCCCTGGGTGAGGAGTGGCATGATTCTAGAAGGACATGTGGAAGTGGAGACATTATTGCAGCCATCTAGGGAAAATACCACAGGCCAGAAGGCCCCCAACTCAGCGTTCGAGGGGAAGACCACGGCACAGTGGGACTTAACCTCTTTTTCTGCCTACAGACCAACCACGTGTTCTCCAACCTCAAGAAGGGCGTCCGCTTTGTGTCTCTGGAACACTGGATTTGGGACATGGGGTTCCTGCCTGAGGACTATGGAATCATCGTGCCCAAGGCCAGTGTGATTGTGCGGGTCTGTCAACTCTAGTGGAGGACTGTCCTTGTTAAACCACCTACCGTGCCTTCCAGCACCATTGACTGGGCCAACTCAATAATCAAGGGCTTGTAGTTCCTGGCATCCTGGGATCTCCTGGGTCCAATCAGGGGTTCTCCCGGGCCCTGTCTTTAAATTCTACGAGAAGCTATGAGAAGAATGTTTTTACATCCGGTCTACTGGCTGCTGCTGCTCTAATACAGCCCCTCTGCTATGGAGTGGAGACACACGGGTGAACACCGGGAAATGGTGAGAGGGCTTCATTGGTCACTTCCAAGAAGCCCTCTCCTCACCTCTGAACTAGAAGCTCAATCCCTGTGGCAGAGTAATTCCAGCCCCTAAACTGTGATTTCAAACCTGGGAGCAAGACTCAAGAGCTGAAAGTAAAAACTAGCTCAAAAAATGTTGTGGAGGCAGAGGGTTCTGCCCACCCTGTGAACAATGAATTGGTCCCCTGAACCCAACCCTGCTCTGAGTTGTATAGTGTATAAAATTATTTTGTTACTTTGAAATTCTTTTCAAATATGGGGAGAGTAAATCAGGAATATATCTGTTGATCATGGGTAATAA